GGGGGGGGGGGCAGACCGGTTTCCTCAAGCACAGCCGGAGCTCTGCCAGCATGCAGCATTTTGACATCTGGATCCACTTGGTGCTGACGGAACCAATATCCCAGTACCTAAGATATACTTTACAGCCTACATCACTGGATGAAAACTACACTGCTTCTAAATTTTCAAGTCTAAATTATAGCCAGTACAGTACTGTAAAAAGCTTTTAAAGCACCAGCACCAAAAAGCAGCGTTAAAGCAAATGATGGTACAACTGGCAGCAGAGACCAAGTATATTTTGATATTGTGAACCTGCAGCCTTTTAAAGGAAACGATTGCAGTCATTTCTGAGAAGCAAGGCCTTTGTAAATAAATGCCTGTGGTCATGATGAAGTCGTTTTTCAGCCTCCGTGTGACGGCACACGCCGTATCTGGGTTACGTTCTCACAAAATATAATGATCACAACCCTCACTATTCATGATGTTTTTGGTAGACAGACCACCAGTCCCTGGGCTCAGCCTGGTGGTGTACAGAGGGCTAGATACCAAAACTGAAACTTTACCAATGCTCCCCCCCCCAACCTGCGGTCAGATCAGCCCCCCGGGGAATCCCAATTTCCATTGGTTCGGAGTGATGTCAATCATAGGACATGCATCAGCGTTTTCCAATATTCATGTATGTGACTCAACCATAAATTCAATTTCAGATCCGTCCCTCCTTCCCCTGTAAATTACATAGAGCTGCTTCTTCAAACACATGCAGGTGAGGTAACCCCATTTAGCTGTTTCCGGGCCGCCCAGAAACGTTCCTTGGGTTTAGCCGGTCATGTGGTTACATTCCTGTGCTGTTGGCACAGCCGGCCTGTGATGACTTCAGCTGGCCTCTGGACTCAGACGCTGGGGGCCCGATAAGAGATTTCTCACTCAGCAATTCCAGTTCCCACGTATGGGTCATTGCCCCGGTGACCGGATTGAGCGCCAACAACGCAGAGTCATTGACGTGTTCCACTTTTGGCTTTGTAGAAATCTGTTATTTGTGACATTGCTCAACGTCCAAAGCTTATCAGCACTGTTCACTGGCATGATTTTTGGCACGGAAGACCTGATGTAGCATTTAAAAAGTCATAGATCTATAAAGTTGCTGGAATATTACACTAACTGCAAAAAAACATGAATATATGATATTTTATAATGATAATTTTGTCAGCAACAGAACGCGGAGACAGGCAGGAATGTAATGCCGACTGAGTTTCTCACCATAGGAGTACATAGAGCCCTCTGGACAGCTGGGCGAGTTGGGAAACAGCTCCCTCTTCAGGCAGCCGTTGGGAGTGTCGACATCCAGCCGGGGCAGGGAGATGGCGTTTTTGATGATGGGCGAGACGAGGGGAGGGGGCGTGGAGAGATCCGCAGTGTCGGCCACCGGCCGGGTCGGGGTCCGGAGGACGTGCCGAAAGGTGCGGGAGAGGAGGCCGCTCGTCTTCTCGGGGGAGGAGTCGGGATCGACCGCCCCGCCGTGGTTGCTGAGGAAGGAGGTGTCGCCGAAGACGTCCCCGCCGCGGCCCACGTGCATGGTGTGCCGGAAGTCGCCCAGCGGTGGGCTGATCATTTCGGCCGTTAAGTCGCCCTTGAAGCGTCGCTTGCCCTGTGAGCTGGACACCAAGCCCTTGATGCCCGACAGTTTGCCCAAATTCATGGCTGCAGCTCCACAAGGCCTGCATATCCAAAACAAATAATCAATGCCCCCCTTCAACTGCACCCCAAGATAGGATTATTCTAACATTTCATATTTTTGCATTTAATTATATTCCCATTTACAAAAAGATCATTCAAAAATGAATCATCGTTACACCGCTTATACATGCTTTCAACAGGCCAAAGTTACAATATAAGTAAATAAAAGAACAGATAGATGTTTTTCTGTTGGTTCTGTTTGTTGGTCTTGGATGTTCTCATTGACAACATAAACACAGGGGAAGCCTTCAAAATGTGAACTATTTTGCCAAAAGAAAGAAATAAGCAAACACGCCTTATAAAACTGTCACCTTTTTTAAAAAAATTATGGAAAAATAAATGTTGACGATTAGATTCCGCCTAAATGTGAAAGACATGTTTTCTTTCTGTTCTCCAAATCCATCGCATTTCAGTCATGATGGCTAAACCCAAATTATGCATCCTGGTTCCTGGAAAACACTGCATGCGGTCAGGGAAGTTCAGTTCCACACAGTTGTTTAGGGTTTTGCTTGTAAAATTTCGCTTCAGAAATAAATCACGGTCCAACTGCATAGGTCGTTGTGGTCATAGATTTTCAGCATTCATTCCTTATTTAAAGAAGCAAGATAAAAGAAAAAAACATAGGTTTTCATCCTGTGGTTACTTGAAAAAAAATTCATTTATGATTTTGTAAACATTGGTAGGTCAAACGTTTTTAGTAACGTAAAGGTCACATCATGGCTGCATGTCATCGGATTCTGTTGCGTCATTTCAAGAGGCAGCTGGTAAAAATGTCTGACTTTTTCTTATGAAGTTTATATACAAAAAGGGTTCAAAAGAATATTCTCTTTTCAGAAGAATAAAACACAAACTTGGCTGTAATAAATCTTCATATGATGCCATCCTGTTTCTTGTTTCAACATGTGTACTTAAAATATACACCTGTAAGATAAAAGATTTAAGGTCTGCCGCTCTATCCACACCCCTAATCTGGAAGTGTTTTCACTAGCCTGCTTATAAACATCCAAAGTATGCCCCAGCAGACAAAACACAGTTTTATTTTTATCCGAAAGCTCATAAGGCACTTAAACTATTATGATAAAATCCACTTTGCATGCCACTTTGTAGTCTGACAACTCACAGTTCAGGAAAAAATATTTTTTTTTCTATGTTGACACGGTAATGCATGCCTTTACAGTGTAGAATAGATTCAATTGTTAGGCTTGCTTTACATTTTTTCGTGTGGAAAACTTACCACACAATTTGCCACATTAATGTTTCCTTTGTCGCGTTCTGCGTACGAGATTTTTGATTTACCGTTATCACTGTATACCCTGAGGCAATATTTTTTTTGCCTGTTCCTGTCAGTGGCAAAGCCACTGCGCTTTCAGCAGCTGCGCTTTTCTCAGGCACATTTTCAGGGTACAGTTTTCAGCTGGAGAAGGGTGTGACTGTCACACTGCGCACATACCAAAAATCGATATCAGAAAGTGACACTATCTCCTGCCCCTCGTGCAGTAACGGCCACATGGTGAACTCGATCCGGTTCAGCTGTCTAACAAGCTCCTTCTATGTAATCCCACCGTGGCTAGAGGGTGTTGGCACGTGCCCACGGAGTACCAAATTGGAAGGAGCATGTGCTTTAAAAGAACCATGTCTCCATGGTAACAGCAGGCTGCATCCAGGGGACCTCATGCAGTGGACCTCAGGATGCTCAACCTTAACTCCTACTACTCCTTAGGCTCCTTGGGTGGTTTTCTTTGAATTCCTGTTCCACAGCTCAGCAGTTTTGCTGGTGCTCCAGGCATTAAAAAGAAATCCCAGAATAAATTTGTTGTCACCTATGTGTTTTTTTAAGGCAACAGATTAATGGGTGGTTCCCAGCAAACACACAGTAATAAAAGACCTGCGTGTCTGAGTGGAGTTTTAGATCTGTCCTTAATCTAAGTTTCCATGCTTCTCTCGCTCCTCTGTCACCCTTCTGTCATCCCAACTAAAGCAGCAAACAGTCGGTGTGCAAGTGACAATGATGTACAGATGCCCGTATAGTCACACCTTCAGATCTTACTCTAAAATCAGCGAATGCAGCGAAACTGATGCTTTCGTTCTTTCATGTGATGGCAAACACTATTTTAAGTAACACGGTTGAAATTTCCATGATTTATGCCACATAAATGCACATCAAACGTGACTCCTAACCAGCCATTTCTATACGCAAGTCCTGACATAATTTGGGGCTCGTTAGTGACCAGAAGCCAAGTTTGACTTGGCTTGTTGCAAATGATAATGATAGGCTGTTCTAGAGACAAAAATTCAGGCGAAGATAGATGGCTTCTCAAGATGTTGGAGTCCGCTCTGGGGTTGAGGAGACGCTGCGTTCTTGAGGTACCTAGGCATCTGGGTGTTACTGAGATGCGAATCACGGGTTATTAATGTTGTGAAAATGAAATAATAAAAAAATCCGAGATGTAAAAACCTTCACACCTCTTACGAATCTCGTATCTGCTAAATAATGTTTCACTTCAGTGACTGTAGGTGTGGTATAAACAGTACAGAAGATTAAACGTTACTCTGACCAGTTAGGACAGGACTAATATGTAGTGAGTAATACTGGGCTGAGTTTAATGGCCTCATTGATAGCACCGGATGAACAGCAATCAGGATCTGCAACTCAATGAAAACAAGTCATCTAAGAGCTGATTAGCTTTTATGAAGAAGTTGGACCATCTGGAGAGCAGGACGCTGGATGCTTCTCTGAAACCACATTATGAAAGTATTCAAGTGTTTAGTCTAATTGTGTTTTTCCCATGAAACTTGATTAGATTACGGTCCACCTCATTTGGGTACACGGTTACACAACTGACTGTCGTAGACATCAACGTGTAGCTTAACAGAGACATCTGTCCATAGCTGCTTACATAACTAACAATCAGCACAGCCTAACATCTTGCACAAGCCTGTCAGGATAAGGATCACACTCCAGAGGACCCTCTCGGGTTCTGAACCTTAAACCTTCTGGCCATAGTTCGCTTGCCTTTACCACTGCCCTGTACTGATTCAATGTTAATCATGCTGACTACACAGAGACAGACTATATCTCCCCAAATTTTCGCTTACAATTCTGAGTAATCCATTCTTTTTTGTTTATCCCTCATTCCTGCTTTTCATCACTCCCTTCATATTTCAAGCTTCCTAATCGCTAACTAACTTGACTAAATGCACAAACATACTATGAGATAAGACATCATAAGACCTGTTTTCCAGACAAGAACTTCACTCAATAAACATTGCACCATTCAGTCATGAGACTACTTCCACAATACAGCGCATCTTCTCCCAGTCTGTCCTCCTGGGTCTTTTCCTCAGTCCCCAATCCCCTCCTTCGTTCACCCTCTCCTTCTCCAAAAGTATATATAGGCATACTTTTTTTGGATGCCAACTTGCATGGATGGGGGGTGGGGGGGGGTCAATGACAGGACCTTTACATTTTGGGAGTGACTCTGAAGCCACTAATCCTCTCTACTAAACAAATAAAACACTGGAATTTGTGCTAAAATTTAGCCAAAGCACATTCCAAATGGTCTAAGCCCACCCGAAACACTAAGCCAATACTTAAATGCTTGTCATTACAGTCCCCCCCATTACAGTTCATGGAGCCCTGATGTCCCCTAACCCCTGTGTTGGGTCTACACCGGGTGCCAGTCAAATCAACAGGATGTTTTGCATGTTCTTAAACTATGGGAGATTCCACAATGAGATTCCATCCTAAAAAAGTCTGAAACAGTAGGATCCTTAAAAAGACTGGGGCGTCGCTAGGGCTGTTCTGGAGGGGGTATAACGACCCCCCCCTCACCACCACCCCAAAAATATTTCTTAGCCCCCCCACATAAATGTACACTAATTAGTTTAAATGGCGCATCAATTCGCGTTAAAATCAGACCCCCTATAGTCAACGCTTAATCGCTCTTTTCACACATCTCTAATGATGCTCCGGCTGGGGCGTTTTCACAAAACACAATGTCCAAACAATATAATGTGATACTATGTATAAGCTCCTCCGTAATAATAAATATATTTAAATAACATATAGAGTCGCATTATATCTATTAAAGCTCATTTAAAATAAATTCCATAATTTGTATTTTGGTTACTTTTAGACTTTTGCTGCTATTCTTTTCGGCCATTACCTTGGCGGGTTTGACGTGGAATCACCTGTCTGAATCGCCCACTTTTTAAACAACTCCCAAACAACGAAGTGTTTACTTAAGAGTTAAAAATAAATTCTCAACTTTAGAAAGAAAGCGCGGTGGCGGCGGGTATTATGGCAGCGACGTTATTAAAACAAGGCTGAAATAACAGACTGAAAGCTCATACGAGCTTAAAATGGAGAGCCACAAAGGGGCTGCTTTGTGTCCGCAAACGCAAGCTTTTATTGACTTCAAAAAAGTTTTTGCAACAGAAGTATAGTTGTACATGGACCAGCTGCAGACTGCATTCCTGTGTTATTGCAATGGAGACGCAAAAGGGTGAAAATAAAATCTGATTTAAATTGTCAGTACATTGTACAAGGCAGCTAATGAATCCGAGAGTCCATAAAAGCAGGAAGACGAAAGGAAATAAATACAAGATTCGGGACCAGATTACACTTTCTGCAATCTATTCACCGGCAAACTAACGCCGCAGATCACGCTTCTGACCACGCGTCTGGTTCCTGTTCCCACGCGCTGCCTTGTATTTATTAACATATAAACCGCTACACCACACAATGTATACAATGACGACTGCCAAAATATCCAGATGATGTTTTTAAGTTCAAACAAACTGTTGATTTATATTCATTATATTGCTAAACATTATGTCTGGAAAAAAAGTTGCCGTATATAACCTACCCGACTTTTGCCCCTACTTTTATGCAGCTCGTATTATCAATAGTATGGTACATGACTGCAATCCATATTTTCTTTCATCAAATTTCATGTAGAAAGCTTACCTTAAAACTGTTGGGAAACTCGTCGTAAGTGATAACGTAATGTAAAAGCTCGTATCCGCAAACACGTCCCTCGGCGAGCCTGCCGCATGTTACAGCTTACATGGAAGCGTTTTCCTCCGGCGCCGCTTCCCGACTCCCTCCCACCCCCGGCTGAGGAGTGCGGACCGCTACCCCGACGGGCTGGGACAGGGGGTGAGGCGGGCGGTGCTGGGGGCACGACAAAGAACTGATCGTATCACCACAAGTAAACTGACTATTTGCTTAACCGAGACGGTGTAGGGGAGGGACCCAGAAACGCTCATGGGGCTGTTTGAAACGCAATCCAGGGCTTTAAGCTGACAGCCACGCGCGGTGATTTTTATTTACATGGACACTCTCAAAACCGAAATCCGGTCCCATGTCAGTATGCAGTAGGATATTTCGGGGGTTTCTGCACTCCAGGCTTTCAAAGCACGGTATACAATTTAATTACGGTTTGACGGTGCAGATATGGTTTATTAATTTTAAATGCATTACTTATAAATGTTTAGAGAAAGCCACAATGAAGCCTGAACTTGCAAATTATGTCCATCTGTTTTCCAGTTTGATTACCCAGTCTGCAGAACCCAAAACTACTTCTGCAAAGGGCAGGATATGTGTCCTTGTGGGATAAATATGGTTATTCATTTACGAATACCATGCACTGTGCGGCTGGTCTTTTCCATGGGAGCCAGAAGAAGGGCAGGTGTGCTCTTAGGCCTGCAGGTGAAAAAACACTCAGATTTATCCAGGCAAAGGACGATCAGACCTGACAGTCATATGTGCAGTTATTTTGACTTTGATAGCCTATATCCAATAATGGTGAAGATTCGCAAGCAGAAGCAATCTCCGCATTTCCTTTGAAAATCGTATTTTACTTTATTTTAGAACTTTATTGTATTACTTCAGTATATCTGGTATATTACCCACATATAAGAAAAGCCAAGAATCAGATGTTGCCGTGAAGGTTGGACCAATGCTAAAATTTTAAGCAGGTCTACTATAACTGTTGTTTATAGCAGTGCCTGACGTTTGTATTATATCAGTCAATCCAAGCATTCTGTGCTCTCCGATTCCGTTAAATGTCTAATGAAATGCATCTAAAGTTGACCCTTACTGGATGGATCAGGCTCTGCTGGATGGATCAGTCCCAGCTGAATGGGGTCTCTTTGGCGTTGGGTGAGCACACGAGTCAGTCGCCAGTGCAAAAAATCACAACAGGAAGGATGTGACCTCACCAGCAGGAATCCGGCACAAACGTGTCGGTGAAAAGCAGTCCTTTCAAAACGGTCACGGTCCTGCAGTTGTCGTTAAACAAAACGCTAAAATACGATCTTCTCTGTTTTGCACACACTAATATTTATAACTCTGATGCTTTACAGCGAGACCTACTTCGGCAGCTCTCGAAATAATATAGTGTATGTGTACTGTGGAGATGACGTCCTGGGTGGGGGTCTGCGGTCTCCGTCTGCCAGTTCTGCGGCAACAGACTCTACGGCTGAGGTCCATGGCCGTTAATCTATCAGCGACGGGTCACTGTGACGCCTGCGTTTCTGCACTGAAAGCTGGGGGTGATGTACTGCAGGGGACAGTTCTTCACAAAGAAAATGAACAGACCCTGTGGACAGGTGATGCATACTTGTTAGCCTAAGTGCAATGAAAACAGAAAGGTGAGGATAAAACCTTAATCCCATCATCAAAAAAGGTAGGGTGTCGTTCGGCTTACTTGGAAGGGGGGTGGTTCTTAACGATAACATGAGCCGATCGTACAGCAGCACACCAGGAGACTTGATACCTGAGGTGAGAAAATGTTCACATGTACAGTCAACAGTGTAGGAGATGGGGGGGGAGGGGAGATAAATCCAAATGAAATTCAGGGGGTACCTGCCCCCCAGGTTCCTACACCCCTGCGTACAGTCTGTCTCTCCTCTCCTTTCTCATTTTCTTTCTCCGTCTCCCTCTCTGTGCCCCATGATCAGAAGAATGCCAGCTATTTGGTTTTTAAAAACACACACAGCTTTTGGATGTTATTCAGGATCTGATCCCTGAAGGGAATTTACCCCACCCCCCTTCCCCCCCCCCCCACCCGCCCAAGTATTCTTCTGTAGACACCAGAAGATCTGATGACTTAAAGCTTTGGGATGTGGCCCCGGGCCCCTGGCCCCTCCCTCTGCTTGACAGATCCTCGGTCCTTTCAGGGAAGACTGCTGTCTCCGTTTCAAAGAGGATGACTTGACAGTCAAAAGATTGTAGATTTTTTTTGCCTTAAATTTGGGTGGAGGGTCAGACTCCTCTCAGTGTCGCACATAAGCAAAGCACAGCCCCACAGACAACCAAGCGATGGTCTTGACGCCTGGATTCGCCCCGATGCTGCTCTGTTTAGAAATACTTCTCAGGCACAGTTGCGCTCGTCGTGTGAGAGCGGAGCGAGCTGGAGGTCAGTGTCCCGGGGGCCGGCTCCCCTCCAAGGATATGGCTTGTCATTAATCTGCTTGAAAACAATCAGGGCTCCAGCGTCCAGGATCACTGTGCTCCAGCCTGAAACTCTTGGTGTAACTCAGCAGTGGGTCAGAGGCGTACAAACACATTTGAGCAAGCGGGGGGGGGGCATAAGGGAAGGGGGCATAATGTCATGTCCACTTGTCAGTTTGCTTCTAAAAAACTCAGATATTATCTTCTGCCTCTTCAGTTTTCCCTAAATTGTCAAAGCCTGCTACCCTCACAGTACCCTTTCTGACTCTGCAATGCATGCTGAGGTTTGGCTAACGCTGCCCATAATGCAACATTAAATATACAATCTTAAAATACAGCTGATTGGTGGATAACAAATCATAACACCGAATGAGAAATCAATACTGTTTGCCTCACCTATAAATCACATTTTTGTTTTTTTTTTTTAAAAAAAGGCATTTAAGGCATTTGATTTTGAAGTTTTATGGCTTTGCATTACATTATTTGTAGGGAATTATTTCATGATTGTTCTTCACTGCATTTTTAATGATGCTTTCCCAGGCACCTTCCAGGAACTGGTTGGCTTGGTGGCTCATTGGATAGCAGAGTCTAAAAACATTATTGGTGATTAAACGCTTATGGGGCATGGAAAGAGATTAAGGAAGTGAAGAGGTCCAGAATTTTTGTTTTGTTGAGTTTATTCAGGCAGTATATTGCTTATTGCAGTTTTCATCATTCCCTAATTCATTTGTCTTATCATTCTAGTGTTGTTGAGGGGACAATCATCCATCCATCCATCCATCTTCCAAATGCTTATCTAGTGCAGGGATGCAGAGTTGGTAGAATGAAGATAAATGATTGTAAATGTCTATATGTGTTGGATGTGTGTAACTGGATGATTTGGAAAATTTGGATTTACACTGCAGAGTTATCAGGAAAGCTTTGAAGTAAATAATATCTGTTCATCACAATGGAGAATCATCAGGTTCAATGTGACTCAGTCGGCCCTCTGGCTCCACGGCGAAAGCGATGGCATGTCTGGCCAGGCAGCAGAGGTGCCCTGAGGTTGGGTGACACTTTCAGACTAGCAGATATCAGACGTGGCTTCCCTCATCCACCCTCACGTTTCTGTTTGGGCTCCACATGGAGAAAGCAAGAGCTTCCCAGGCTCAGCGACCGGCGTAAACAGCTGTAATGGGAGAGGAGACCAGAAGGCCTGGCGGCGTCATTCCTGTTTGCAGTCTCAATGACTCTTATTTTGTTTTTCCGGAAGCGAGAATGAGCCGTACACGCCTGGCTAGGGGCGGCCACGTCTAAACATATGCATGTTTAGATGAACCATTTCCACACGCTACGTTTAGCCCATTTGTAAGTGGGGCCAGTCACCCCAACGAGGGCCTGTGTGTGATAAGATCCAATTTTCACAAAGAAATCAACAATGTCGAATGAGTGTATGAAGGACAGATACGTCCTGAGGGACAAACAGCGCAAAGAGTCTGACCCATCTTGGTCATTACAGTCTGGGGCTCGATAATGTATGCAGGCTTCAAGAGCATTGCCAGTTGCTTACTTTCTAAAGCCCCAATGCATAATCAGTTATCCAAGAGTATTCCCAGTTATCTCTGGAACGCTGGGCTCCCGGACAAACACACTTCATTCCTTCCTGTTCGCTGCCTTCATGCGTATCATGTGTTAAATGATCTGTGTGATCCCGTAATTGTTCCGGATTAGCGGGGTCGCTGTTCACCTTACGGTAATCAGGTTTCCGTGGAGACAGACGTGTGACAGCTGAGGATCTGATTCGTTCTGATGACTCAGATTGGGAGGATGGGAGCCAGGGGAGTGAGGTAAGCAGTGGGAGTGAGGTAAACAGGGGGAGTGATGTAAGCAGAGGGAGTGAGGTAAGCAGGGGGAGTGAGGTTAGCAGAGGGAGTGAGGTAAGCAGGGGGAGTGAGGTAAACAGAGGAAATGAGGTAAACAGTGGGAGAGAGGTAAACAGGGGGAGTGAGGTAAACAGTGGGAGAGAGGTAAACAGGGGGAGTGAGGTAAGCAGGGGGAGTGAGGTAAGCAGGGGGAGTGAGGTAAACAGTGGGAGTGAGATAAACAGAGGGAGTGAGGTAAGCAGAGGGAGTGAGGTAAGCAGGGGGAATGATGTAAACAGAGGGAGTGAGGTAAGCAGAGGGAGTGAGGTAAACAGAGGAAATGAGGTAAGCAGTGGGAATGAGGTAAGCAGGGGGAGTGAGGTAAGCAGGGGGAGTGAGATAAACAGTGGGAGTGAGATAAGCAGTGGGAGTGAGATAAACAGAGGGAGTGAGGTAAGCAGAGGGAGTGAGGTAAGCAGGGGGAGTGAGATAAACAGTGGGAGTGAGGTAATCAGTGGGAATGAGGTAAGCAGGGGGAGTGAGGTAAGCAGGGGGAGTGAGGTAAGCAGAGGGAGTGAGGTAAACAGAGGAAATGAGGTAAGCAGTGGGAGTGAGGTAAGCAGGGGGAGTGAGGTAAACAGTGGGAGTGAGGTAAGCAGGGGGAGTGAGGTAAGCAGGGGGAGTGAGGTAAACAGTGGGAGAGAGGTAAACAGGGGGAGTGAGGTAAGCAGTGGGAGTGAGATAAACAGAGGGAGTGAGGTAAGCAGAGGGAGTTAGGTAAGCTGGGGGAGTGAGGTAAGCAGAGGGAGTGAGGTAAGCAGAGGGAGTGAGGTAAGCAGGGGGAGTGAGCCAGAGAGAGGCAGAGAGAAATGAAGGACCATGCATGCAGGCAGGAGTGGGAGGAGGTACAGAATGAGGGGAGCAGAAGGGGGGAGGAATGAAAATGGGGGGCTAGTAAAACAGGATGAGA